TTTGAGATTGCATTTTCAATACCCATTCATCTTTATTACCCAATAATATGTTCTTGGTTCAATATGTGCTGGAATCAGTGCTATTTACCTTGTTTTGTGCATTAAGGAGCACATCCAAACCCTGACAACTTAATGCATATGATACAAACAGTTAACATCAACTCCCCTCAAGTAATTAACACAGTGTTCCACCACGTTTAAAAGAGGAGATAAGAGGCCTGTCTCTTGGTGTGCAACAGGAATTTCAAGCTATGATATGATGTTAGAAAATGCTGCAATATCTGGGTGAAGCCCTTTTATTTAAGTTGGTGAGAATGTTCAAATTTGAGCAATATTGGTCCCTCTTTGCAAAATTGTTAGCAGAGAAATATTTGATAGAGGCTATACCATCTAATTGGAATTGAGGTCTAGTTGTACACCTATGTCCAATTTTTATTTTTTGAAAATGTACATTGGTCAATTTTTGCTTAGAGCCTTTTTGATCTTGCTAGTGATTTCTTTGTTAGAAGCAAATCTAGCTAACTTTAGTGTTGGAGAACATAACTGAATAGGCAAATGAGAAATTTGTTCAGATGGAACAAAATCAAAGGGGATTCATATAGTTAATCCAACTAGCTTTGGATTAAGGCTCTGTTGTTGTTGTTGGTTGTCTTGTCTATTGGCAATCATGAAATGATGCTTTTTGTACAGATATCCAGTTTCATGATTGTCGATAAACAAGAAAAAAACAAATCACTAGCAAGATCAAAACGGCTAGTTTAAATCATGAAAGTGTTCAGTGTTGTTGCCTGTTTATAGTCCAGTGATGGTCATTCCTGGCACCTGTGCTTATTCTTGCAAATAGAATATCTTCCCTACAATCCCTTTCAACCATTGGTATGACCTTAATGTTTTGGTTATTGTGGCACTGCATCATGCACTAATCCCTGGTTGTTTCTCTGTCTGCTGTGTTTAAATTGTTTGTGGAGATTTTATAAGATTTCCTGAATTTTTCTCATTTTCGTGATATGTCTTGGTTGTTCCATCAAACTAGGGGATTTCATTTCAGCAATATTTCCGTCTCCTTTGTGTTGAACCTCCTAACTATAAAGATTTTATGTTCTCAACTTCTTAGATCTTCGAGAAGAACCCAACAACAATCAAGAATTATGGTATTTGGCTCCGTTACCAAAGTAGAACTGGATACCACAACATGTACAAGGAGTACCGTGACACCACATTGAATGGTGGTGTGGAGCAGATGTACACTGAGATGGCTTCTCGCCACAGAGTTCGCCATCACTGCATTCAGATCATAAAGACAGCAACCATTCCAGCTAAGCTGTGCAAGAGGGAGAGCACAAAGCAGTTCCATGACTCCAAGATCAAGTTCCCGTTGGTGTTCAAGAAAGTCAGGCCACCATCCAGGAAACTCAAGACCACATACAAGGCTACTAAGCCCAACTTGTTCATGTAACTTGTTTGGTCATATGTGCATTGAGAAGCAACTTCAGATTTATGCAATTTTGGTGCATTAGTTGAGTTGAGTTAAGATTCATTGTGAAAGAGATATAAGTTAAACCTTTTTGTTCTACTGACCAAATGATGGTGGTTATTAGAGTATTTTTAATCATGGATTTCTATTTGCTTTTATCATTGAAGTTCTTGCTAATAAATTTTGTTAGCATTGGTGGTAAATGTGGGGTTGATTTCGTTTGATTCATCTTGGTGTTGTCTCAGTTTGAGAAGAGGTGAGGAGTCTCACTGGGTATGCCATAAATATGTGAAAACAAGTTGTGTTTGATTTTTTTTTTTTCCCCGTATAGACCCTGTCCAGATCAATTGTTGAACCAGGAGCAATAAGAAATCTTGATAGAGTAGCTTTGTCTTTCCTGTTTCAGTCCCCCCGTGTCTTTGTTGTTGTGGTGGTGGTGGTGGTGGTGGTGGTTGTATAGTATCGACCAGTTTTGGAGAATTGGCAGATGAATTGAAGACGTGCACTTGTCACAGCATATAATAAGTTTTCGTCATGAAATTTAACATCATCATACCTTTGTCAATGCATGTCCACCTTTCATCTCCAAGGTTTGCAGTAGGCCAAGTTACAATGCTCGCAGCACCCATACAATTAGGTTTGGTAGGAGTTGAATTTGTGCACAAAACTTGTGCTTACAAAGTAAGTTTTTGTGTTGCCATCATCATCATAGGTTTCAAGCTCATATACTGGGTGAGACGGTATTTTATCACATCAGGAAAAGTTATAGAGCGTGGAAGGGCGATTAGAACCTTGGTGAATGGGGTTATATAGAGAGATTCTAGGAGAGTAATCATTACTAGAAACTAACCAACTGTACCAAGGACCTCTGGAATAAAGTCGAGGTAGTGAACCTTTGTTTCATGTAAACAAAGAAACTTTTCACCTACTTCATTATCGTCATCATGATACAGTAGACACCACAGATGTGAAGGACGAATACTTAGCAATACAGACCTCCAACAGATGCGAACCTAACTTGATCAGTAAATGTAACAAGGCAATTAGCTATTAACCTCAACAGATCCTCTGACCACATTTTACTCTGATCTGATATAACAATAGGGAATGTGATATTTTAATTAGAGCAATACTATATTTTAGTATACATATTGTAATTTGTACTGGTTTGCCAAACACCAATATGAAGATTGGTTTTATAGGAGTAATGTTTCTGATTTCTAGTTTACATAGGTTTTCTTTTCCTTTTCCTTACCTCATTCGTTAAATATTTCAACAACTTTATGGAACTGCACTATTATATATCATCTTTGTTTCAATTTATTTATCCAGCTTTTTCTTTAGTCTGTTTTAAAAAAGAATCTCTTTTAAAGATACATTAATCCAAACAAATTAATATGTGAATCTGCTGTATATTTTTTCTGAGGGTGGCCTCAAGAATACATAAATTAAAAGGGTCTACTATGGCCAACTTGTTCATGTAACATGTTTGGTCATATGTCCATTTAGAAGCAACTTCAGATTTATGCAATTTTGGTGCTTTAGTTGAGTTGATTTAAGATTGCCTTTTTGTTCTGATCATATTTAGATATGCCAATTACATGTTATAATCATCTGGTTTCACAATGATTAAAGGATTTTGGTTATACAATAAAGAGAAAAAAAAAAAGTGCATGCATAACAAAGATGGAATTTAGGACATGGATGTGACCCCTCACCAAACTAGGATACATGTCAAAATGCCTTTCATTTGCTACAAAAGAGCTATTATTACTCCAACAAAGGTAGTACTAAAGTTTTGTCAAAACTACTTTATATAGCTGCAATGTTTGACAAGCCTAAGATGAAATAACCTCTTATATTACTTGGACAGTTTATTTTCACCAACCTCAATCAAGAATTTCAAAGAGAGGAAATGAAAAGGGGATACTCAATATATTAAAGTAAAAAGTAAGCCATGACACTAATCTTTCTACAGGGATAAAATAAGGGTATCCTTTTCTACTTTGATCAACAAAGAATAAGATAAAATATTTTTGAGTTTCAAACTTTGTCATAAATTAACATTTTCCTAAAGTTCCTTCAACCAATATTTCTTAAGTGAATAGGAAGAGGAATTACTTGTTTCTTTTAGTTAAAATAGATAGAAATTACATAAAATTGAAATATGGAAATAGTTGATGAGGAAAGGATATAGGACACCTAAGTATGATCTATTTGTAGAACAATTTTAAGTTTTATGCACTAACGATGCTTAAGAATCATTTACACAATCAAGTCACTTTTTAAGATTGAGGTAACTAACTTACTATCACACGTTAAACTATATTGATATTATAATTCATATGTATATGCTTTTTAATGGTACACTTTGGGAACCATTATTATGAATGTGAAGAAAGAAGTTTTGGTATATGATTACATGGGGCAAAAGTACTTTATCTTTGTCTACCACCAGTATGCAAATATCATTACCATTTTCTACTGTTGAGCTGTCTTGTACTAAAACTTGACATTAACTGGCATAAAAAAAAAAACTTGTTAATCAAGCTTTGGTTGAATCTAGTAGTAGCAATGCTCATATGTTTTTGTGAAGAAATCATATGTTTGGTGTTTGTTCAATTTTTGGTTAGAAAAGTGATATCTCCCATATATATTCCAAATGATTGAAACTTGTGGTGTTATTCTTAACTGTACATTTAAAAATTCTTTTCTAGCTATAATTGTGTCTCTATCAACCCCTTGAATTTTGAGAAGGGGATATATTAACCTTGTCTAATCATGCATGGAATGCTAACTTATTATCAACTTCAATTATAAATGAACTTGTTCACATTGTCGGTCTCAAGTCCAGATAAAGGAGGAGAGTTATGGTAGGCTGACAGCTAATATAAAACTTGTCAATTCATGATGGATCCTCATAAATGATTATATGAGATGCATTTAAATGGAGTGTGGGAATTCATATAGCCAATCCGATCTTGTTTGGAACTGAAGCCGTAGTTATTGTGTTATCTAGTGTAGTAACTTTTAGTATATGAAAAGTAAAGGTTATTACTATTATATATAGCTAGCAATTTTGCACAAGACATGAAGAAATGGACACTTGGTCTTTTTGTTAAATGATCTAAGAGTACCTTTTTTATACAAGAAACAAAAGATACATCGTAGTAGAGCTAATACAAATTACAAAATGTCTTTAGTCTAATCTAGATAACATGCTCATCATTATATCTAAGATTAAATAAAGTCAATATGGTTATCCTTGTTTGTCATTAGAAATATCATAATAATAAAAAAAAGCTATAAAAGCTAAGAATGTTATAAAGTGAAAAAACTTTAAAAGTAGTCCTTTAATTCCTTGCATGGTTTTAAAAGTTTATATCCCACTACAATAAATAATTTGTCATCTTGAGTTTCCTCTTCCATCATATTACCCAACTTTCCTAAAAAATCAGATTTCTTCAGTACTAAATTTGCTGCCTTTTTAAAGCTGCTGATCTTTTTGTTCTCTGAAGAATCAAGAATGAGGAAATATTGGATGTCACTTATTTCTGTCTTTGCTTTTTATGTATTTCCACATTTCATTTTTTGTTTATCCAATGAAGAGATCCAACTCAATAGCCAGTTGATTAGCATTAACCAACATGTTCCTAAGGTATGACCCCCCCCCCCTCCCCCTCCCCCCCCCCCCCCCCAATACAAAATTGTTGTGAGTTTTAAGATATTTCACTTTCCCTTCCTTTCTATTTTTTTTTCAATCAAGGAATGAGAATTTGACAAGTAATGAAAAGTATTTGTACAGGTGAATTCTCATAGGATATTTGATATTGAAATTCATGGAATATTATTATGGGCTTCAATGGGATTCTTGATGCCTGCTGGAATACTCACAATAAGACTCTCCAACACAGAAGAGTGTAGCACAATAAAACTCAAAATTCTCTTTTATCTTCATGGAACTCTTCAGGTATTTAATACTCCTTCGTTTTAATTCGTTTGTCTAGTTTCAACTTGGCACGAAGTTTAAAAAGTAAAAAGAATATACCGAAATGTCCTCTGGATATTGTGGTGTAAATTTTAAAACATGACACATGTCACAAAAGGAAAGATACATTCTTTTCGAAATACATTAAAAAGGAAAGTAAGATAATCAAATTGAAACAGATGGAGATTTAATTTCAAATTCTGAATTTTTTTGAAATTGTTGTAAAAAACAAACTTTTTTGACATCTCTTTGATGAATGAAAGATGTTTCTTTTGTGCCATGACAAGTAATGATCTTCACTTTTTCTGCTACTTAATTATCATAGGTGCACTTTAATCATAGTAAGGATTAAAAAGTTCAAAATTCATTTTATGTGAGCCCACAGTTTGGTGGGAGTATAAGTAAAAACATATTTGACTATGATTATGTCCATTGTATGTGACAAAAATGAGGATTAATTTAACTAATAGAAAATTAAAAAATTATGTTATGTCTTTTGTTTCTGGCTGTAATAATTGATCCTATTTTTTTTTTTTTCTATTTTCTAATTGAAAAGGTGCTCTCTGTGGTGTTGGCTACTGCTGGAGCTGTGCTATCAATAAAGAGCTTTGAAAATTTGTTCAACAACAATCACCAAAGAATAGGCTTAGCACTTTATATTGCCATCTATGTCCAATTTTTTATGGGATTTCGAAGGCCTAAGAGGTAACTTTTCCTTTATTTTCAACACAACTAATAGATATAGTGAAACTTAGCCTAGGTTGAATTATAAAAATATATGTAGGAAAAGCAGCACCTTGGCTTTCTAAAAGAAAATTAATCTACATGTATACATGGACTTACGACTTTGTAAAGATTTGTGTTTTTTATAAACAATCGCCTAGGGTTGGTCATTGTGTCCCCTCTCCCGAGGCTATTTTATTGAGTTACTTAGAGAGAGTTGTTTTAAACCCTTAGATATCCTCTACCTACTCAATTGTGTATTTTTAGGGTACAAATACTCTCTTGCTCAAAACCGTTTCGAGTTTTTCTATGAGTTACTTTTGTAGCCCATGGTATTTCTTTAGATTTGTTGTTTGTCCTTTTGTACCTATACTTTTCTTTATAAAGATGATGTTATAGTTATTTTGCACGAAAATCAACTATACTATTCAGTATTTGTTATTTTTCATTAATTCAAGTATTGAGTAGTTTTATTCACCAACTTATGGATGCAAACAAATTATCTAGAGCAGAGGCGGAGTTAGGTGGGGGTTCATGGGTTCGGACGAACCCACTAGCTTTTTCGTAGATTCTATATTTGTATTTAAAAATTAAATAAATATATGTATATTAACATGTGAACCCCCAAACAAATTTGATTTAGAACCCCCAAACTCCTAACATTGGCTCTAGAGTACGTTTTCTATCTTTATTAGAATTTGAACGTAGATCTGTTTAACAATTTCCACCAATTTCATTGACACTATATCACACCTTTGAGCCTTTTGTACATACACTTATAATTACAAGCATAATGTCAGTATGAGTAATGCACATCTAGGTGCTTCTATGGTTCCACTAAACCATAGTTTTCAACTAGAATTATGTGTACATATACCAAAAACATATAGTTAGATCACACTCTTTCTGAATCAACTAACTCAAAATCTTGAATTCCTCTATGGGATTTAACTGAAGACTAACTTATTTTGGACTACAGGGGAAGTAAAGGAAGAAGTGTATGGTACTTTTTCCATTGGCTACTTGGAACAACAATATGCTTGGCAGGAATTATCAACACTTACACAGGCTTAAATGCTTACAATCAAAGGACATCTAAACCAATAAGTCTTTGGACAATAATTTTTACAGCTCAAATCTCATTCATGGGATTATTCTATCTTTTCCAAGACAAATGGGAATATATACAAAAGCAAGGGGTCATTCTTGACAATAATGAAACTATAACACCTCAAGTGGAAATAGTTGTTACTCAAAGTGATGAACAGAAGATGATAATGAGAACTGAGTCAGGAAGGAAAAGCAATGCACTTGGGACTTTCTTTTCTAGAAATAATGTCCTAAACAAATTATTTCAACAAACTTGAAATGTTTTCATGTTTCTTGGAAACTACTAGTTTCTGGGTACGTGTGTTGCATATGTATCTTGTATGAAAATCAATAATGAAAAAAAATCAAAATCATATAATAAGTTATTGGGGGGACATGCATGTTTGTTACAAGTGTTTCTCAATATTTCCAATCTATTGTCCAGTAGATAAGTCTCAAAATAGGCATGGTCAAATTAAGCTCAGTTGTTTATAAGCAATTAAGTATACATTCAGTTATCAACAACTAAAAAAATACATAAAATTCTGGTCAATCAAAAGGTGATTAGATATCAAACATTTGCAAATATTTTAGGAAAGGCACCATAAGTTAAAGAATTATATGTGTTTACATTTTACTACAACAAGTACCTAAATTAGGAAAGGCTCATTTAGAATTCTAATTTTTTTGGAAAATGTAGTCTTTTAAAAGAATTACTCCAAAAAGACTCCACAGCCTTGAGAATATATAACTTATCACCACATGGTCCTTTATTTTTAGTGCTAAGTTTATTTTTGTTCTTCAAGTATAATTTTGAACAAAGTAATCTTATATCTCTACTAAAAAAGTGTACACTTTTGATCATGTTCACCATTTAATGTTAAATGGACTTCGTTTAATAACATGCTCTCTTCTTGGAAAATGTCCATCATTCAACTTTAAATTACTTCTTCCGTTTCAATTTATTTTTTTAATTTTAACTTGAAAAAAGTAAACAAAATTTTGAATCTTATAGTCTTAAATTAAAGATATGTAAAATGTATCAAAATGTCTTTTAATCTTATGATCTTAAACATGTCATGTGAAAAATTAAAATTAAAAAAATGAGACATCATGGAGTAACATTATTTCCCGTGTTAATAACTTGCTCTACTCTTATAAACCGTCTACCTCTAATAAAAATAAAGAACCAATTTTGCTCACAACCACATTTGAAGGACAAGATTAAACTAACTTCTTAAATATAAAGGACCACCATTAGAAATTCTCTTTTCACCAACTATTCCCAATAAAGAAAGAATAATTTAAGGAATATTTTAATCGATTGACAGATTCGGAATCTTTTATCTCCACTGTTCTTGATATACCCTCTGTGACTGTGAGAATCTCCACTCTCCCAACACCTCAAATGGCTTCTCCAGATCACCATATGCATGACCATGACCATGATCACCACCATCATAATCATGACCATACCCATGAGTGCAAACTTGCTCTGTCATTTTTTTAATTTTTAATTTTTTTGGGGTTGATTCTTGATTAATTAGTTGACTTAATTTATGAATCAGGGACACAAAAGCAACATCATGGGTAGGAGCAGATGGGAAAGTATACCATAGTCATGATGGGTTGGCTCCTCACTCTCATGAACCTATTTATTCACCTGGCTACTTTAGCAGAAGGGCACCTCCACTTATTGACAGGAATTTCAGTGAAAGAGCCTTTACTATTGGAATTGGCGGCCCTGTTGGTACTGGGTATATCTTCTTTTCCCTCAATTTTTCTTGAATTTATGTCTTGGGATGTGTGTTCAAGTAAAAGGGTTTTCAGTATTTGAGAAGAAAAATGCAATCTTTGAGAAATGAGAGTAGAAGGGGGAGGATGATATTTAGTAGCTTTTGGTATCTGTTATAAGTAGGATTTTCTTTCAGCTGCAGCAACACAAGTAAAAAACAAAAGGGGCCATTTTTATAGATAAAAATTGAATCTTTAGAACTCTGCATGTAGGAACACAATTGTTCCATTAGACACATATCTTACTGTGTGAGTGTGTGTATGAGTGTGCAAGAGAATTTTCCTTTTCAGTTCAAGGTTCATAATGTACTGAAGTGAATTGATTTTTACTGTATAGTATTAGTTTTTGCCTCTCCGAGGGTCTTTCAGAAACAGTTTCTACCTCCACGAGGTAGTGGTAAGATTTGAGTACACTCTACCCTCCCCAAACCCCACTTGGTGGGACTTCACTGGGATGTTATTGTTATTGTTATTGTAGTATTAGTTTTTGCTTTTGCTTTTCCTCCACACTTAGTTTCTTTCTTGTGTAATTAGCTTGTAAAATTTTGGTTGAACATGTTGAGATTTTGAGGGACTAACTGTTCTTTTATATGCAGGAAAACAGCTCTAATGCTGGCATTATGTAAAGTCTTGAGGGACAAATACAGTCTTGCAGCAGTATGTACCACCAAATGATTTCTTTCTTTTGCCATTATGATATAATTGCTTCATGAACAACTTTAGTCTGCACAATTGTTTGGAACTTCCGGATTCCCTTTTGTGGTTTGAAGTACGAAGCTGAAGTTTATTGGTGGTTTTCATATCTTTCTCTGCCTCATCATTAGAAATTCTAGATGAAGATGGGGGTTATGTGCAATTTTCCATTTGATTGAGTCATTCAAGTGGAATAACAACATTCTTTATTCACAATTGCCTTCGAAGATTATCTCATAGGTCATGTTCTTGTTTTTCAATCATTAAGAACTCCTTCCTGCACATCACATATTGGCATCTGCCAAAACTTCAAACCAAAGTTTTGGGAGTTTACTTGACGTTTGTTAGTTTGGCAGGAAATAAGTTATGTTCAGGGATGTATTTGGTGTTCAGGAATTCCGATGCTCTTTCATCACTTTCCAAGTCTATGATCATGAAATCTTCACTTTTTTGTTCGAAGATGTAGAATGAATTGTTGTCCATGTTAAGATGCATTTCTTTGTAGGTAACAAATGATATATTCACGAAAGAAGATGGAGAGTTCTTAATAAAACATGGTGCATTGCCGGAGGAAAGGATTCGAGCTGTGGAGACAGGAGGATGCCCACATGCTGCTATTAGGGAAGATATAAGCATTAACCTTGGACCTCTTGAGGAGCTTTCTAATTTGTACAAAGCAGATATACTACTCTGTGAATCTGGTGGAGGTAATTGGTCATAAAAACTGTTGCAGACGCAAACTAATAAGGATATTTAAGTTTATATTTTCAGTAAGATTTACATCACTGTATGATCTATTAACCCGTTTCAATTTTGGTCTCTCGTCATTTAATAAAAGTTCCTTCATTGCAGACAACCTAGCTGCCAACTTCAGTAGGGAACTTGCTGACTACATAATCTACATAATAGATGTATCAGCGGGTGACAAAATTCCTCGAAAAGGAGGCCCCGGAATTACGCAAGCAGATCTCCTTGTATGTTTCTTATTATGCACATTTCGACTTCTAAAATTTATCTAGTGTAAACTTCTGTCTGCACATGATCAAATTATTATTTGATTGTTGGTTCTTAAATTTAGGTGATAAATAAGACCGACTTGGCAGCAGCTGTGGGAGCAGATTTGTCCGTCATGGAGCGTGATGCACTTCGGATGCGGGATGGTGGCCCTTTTGTTTTTGCTCAGGTTCATTAATTTTCTCATCTCTATTCATTTTTGTTTTTTGTAATTTTATTAGTATGAATGACTCTCAATCAAATCACCACTGTTCAAGCTTTACCTATTTGAAAGATCAGCTTATATAACTGCCCAGTATTTGAAGAGTAAACAATGATGTGCATATACAAAATGTCATTTGTGTTTTTTGTGAATTCTTGAAATGTAAAAAGTTTGTCCGAAAATAACTCCCTTTGTTCTACCTTCTGTCTGTATAGCTTGTCCGGGAAACATTAACCTTTTTTCCATAAATAAATAGACTTTCTATCTCCAAAAGTTCAAAATCAACTCGTAGTAATATCATTTGCATTGTTTTCATTTGATTTGACTTCAGTATATACCCTTTTCATAGTAAATATACTTAAGCACACCAATACATTTTGAAACTGATCCTGAATTTACATGCTATTCAAAATAGCTTGGTCACTGTGGGGATTGATGATTTAAGAGAATATAGTAATAGCTGTGTAAAAAGTCGTATTGGCTTGTGTTAGCAATTTGAATCATTGCCCTGGCTATGTAGAATTCCATGTTACATTTGCTTTCCTAAATTGTGACTACACAAGGCAACAGTGAAAGAAATTGTTTTCATGTCAGACATACATCTTTTGTTCTCTTTTAGTTTCTCGTGATTCTTTGGGGCATTTCCCTCGTCTTCTATTTGAAGTTGTTTGATGATGGTGGAGAAGCTTCTGAATCTTCGTTTATAAAGATGCGCTTTTAGTGACCAAATAATACAAATAGTCTAGTTCAGATATACTTCTTTGATAACATGATCCAAGATATATAAACTTCTTGACTGGAAAGGAAAAGTTGAGAGGGGTGGGTACAGCAGAAGATTTGCCTACTATTAAGAACTAGTACTAGAGAAAAGAATGAGATTTCATTTGTGAAAAGTCTGAATTTTCTTGTGCAAATGTGCGGTTTAAAAGCAGGCACGTTACAGTATTGGAAGCTGGTTTGTTTGTTGAAACTATACATTGCGTAGCTACACCACAGGAAAATGTCACAGGGTCATTTTTATCTATTGATTCCTAACGCGATATGAATGTGTTGATTCAACTGCAGGTGAAGCATGGGGTTGGCGTAGAGGACATAGTGAACCATATCTTACAAGCTTGGGAAGTTTCAACAGGCAATAAGAAGCGCTGAAATGTTAATCGAAAACTTTACTTGAACATTATGGATCTTTTGGCTTCTCCAATGCTATCTGAACATTCAATTTCCCTGTTTCTGGAGTAATATAATCTATCTACTGAATAATGCTTGTTATGTACAAGCACTAAGTATTTGTAAGTTTCTATATTTAATTTAGTTTGTTTGATCATCATTAATCATATTTACTTCCTTTCGGAAACAACCCCTCTACCTTCACAAGGTAGGATTAAGGTTTGCGTATACTCCACCTCCCCACACCCTGCTACTGCTTGTGGTGTGTATGTCTTCTTCTTGTCACTTCAAGGTGGGTATTTCGCCTTTGTCCAAACTCAATAATTTGTTGGTTGGTTGAGCTTTTAATGTAAGATTTAGACTATTTTCAATCGAAAACTATTCCAACAATGGTACAAGAAAGGACGTATTCACTAGGAGTAGTAATTCATTTCAAAAAGTCCAAATAGATAATCCTAAAAACAAAAAAGCTACATACTTAAAATGAAAGACTTCAAGTTTCTATTGCTTGGCTGATAAATAATAATATTATAAATGCATAAACGCAACAATCAAAATAATGAAGCCCCTATAGCTCAGTGGTAGAGCGCCAGTCTTGTAAACTGGAGGTCTGTAGTTCGATCCTGCATGGGGGCAAAAAATTTATTTTTAAAACAAACACAATTTTTTGTTTTTGTTTTTGTATTGTCTTACACCACCCGCATTGGAGCCCGACTATTTTAGATTCGCACCGTATAGGTTTCCATTTTGGGGAAATCGCTCTTTACTAAGGATTCTTTCATATTTAGGGCTCGAACCACATTTTTTTGTTTTTGTATCGTCTTACACCACCCATATTGGAGCCAGACTAATTCAGATTCGCACCGTATAAATTTCCATTTTGGGAAAATCGCTCCTTACTAAGGATTCTTTCATATTTAGGGCTCAAACCACATTTTTTTGTTTTTGTATTGTCTTACACCACCCATATTGGAGCCCAACTAACTCAGATTCGCACCGTATAAGTTTTCATTTTGGGGGAATCGCTCCTTACTAAGAATTCTTTAATATTCAGGGCTCGAACTTGAGACATCTGGTTAAGGGAGGAGCAGCCTCATTTGTTGCACCACATCCTTTAAACAAAAAATTATATTGTCAATAAAGCATGAATTAAAGTAACAAAATAAACCCTGATAATATATAACAAAATATTTTTTTGTTTGTTTAAATAGTAAAGAATTAGTTTTAAATATACATAATTAATAAATTTGTAATATATTTTGATAATTTTTGCATAACTAATATATGTTCAATAGGTAGCTAATATTAAGTTTAATGGCTTTTTTAGTTGCTTCGTACAAAATTTAGCACATCAAGTAAAATGTCTGATTATCATTTTATATGATTTTACATAAATAAAATACGTATGAGTTAATTATATATTATCTTTTAAAAATTATATGTTTTATATTGTGTAGATGATAGGATAAAAATACAAAAAAAATAGGCGAAATAAAAAAAATTATTTATTGATAATTAGGTCAAATATATCTTTAATGTTACTAAAATAGATTAAATTTGCTTTACATTTAAAAATCGAAAGTTTCACATAGTTCAAGAACAAATTTGACCCTTCTTCGTAATTGTAAATTTTGAATTTTCTTTGCATTATCCTTTCTCTCTCTCAGTCACTATCTATACCGCCAACCACTCTTACTTTCTCCTTAGACGCTTACTTGCATAATAATGATAAAATCTTATATTGCATGTTCAAGTCATTTAGCACATTTCCTTCTGTTAGTGAATAAAGCGCTAAAGCAACAGAGTGAGAGAAAGAATAAGGAAAATCGAAATAAAAATAATGGTATTGGTGATGGTGATAATGACATAAAGAGATAAACAAAAATAAAAGAGTTCTTCCAATTCAATTATTGCACAAGCAGAGAATTTTCAATCCGAATAAAAAAGCTAAGGAATTCAATGAACATCGAAAAGGAGGGGGAAATTATCAAAATTAAGAAGTTGAACTATGTTAAAGGTTTTTTTAATCATGAGACATGTGACATTATCGAAGGCAAAGTTTTTACTTTTACAATAACGATATTCAACCTATTTCAGTAATAATGACGAAACATTTAAGCCCAACTATTAACGGAAAAACAAATTTAATATTTCATTTCATATAGCTCATAGCCAAATTTGACCACTTGCCCATGGAATATTTTTTGAAGAGAAGAATATTTGTAAGTTTCTCAGAAAGCCCCTATAAAATGTCGTATTTCAAATAAAGTCTCCAAAATTTCCCAAATCCTCAATCCTAACCCAAACGACAGCGAGAAGAAGCGAAGGAACAACTCGAACCATCAAAAACCAATACAGGTGTGTGTGAATTTGTGCAGAGCAAGAAATCAATGGCGGAGGGAGGGGAGAAGAAGGAGAAGAAGAGGGTTGTGGTGGAGTCGTTAGGATGGCTAACGGAATCCACCATCATGCCCAAAAAGATCCGACCTATTGAAGGCGTCGGTGCTTCTTCCATCCTTGAGCTTAAAGCCCAATTATACAAATCTCAAGAAGAGGCCAAACGCGTCGCCAAAGAGACCGTCCACCCTTCTGCTGCTGACCCGAATTATTCCCATCTAGAGATCCATCGTGCCAAGAAGAAGATAACTGCCAAGAACGTTTTTTCGTCTAAGAATCATGGGGTTGATGCCAGAGAGGCCAAGTATAGTTTCTGCTTCCCTTGCCCTATTTTTTGCTATTTGATTATAGTATTCGTTTTCAATTTTTCGTGTTCAGGTTCTGAGGTTTCATAATTGAGGTTACAATCTATTTTGGTAAAGTAAGAATGTGTTAATGGTTGTTTGTTAATATCAAAGAGTGGATACTAGCATTCTCTAGCAATCGGATTCTGTGATAAACTAAGATTGGAATTTGGTCTTAGCAGGCTTACATATTGCAATTGTATATTTGATTAAGATTCTGGCTTTGATTGTAGGATTGGAATTGGGAAAGGATGGCGGTTAGTAAGTCATATACTAGAATTTTATAGTTTAATGCAATTGTGGAAATTAGGGCCAGTTTTGATTCTTTGTTCTGATTGATTATATCATGAGTTGAAGTTGGATTTTATCTTATTTTGGGATAATTTTCTGGAGTCCTGCATATGTTTAAGCAGTGGGTGGAGGACTGCTCTGGTAGCATATTGGTGTCTTATGAGGCCTGTGAGCCAGAAAACCTCCAAGGATATTGTCTGAACCACTAGAGTAATTGGTGCTCCAGCCCTTTACTGTAGAATCAAATCATGTTTGTATGTGCCAGCAGTCTCCCCGTCGCATATTGCTTTGTCTTTCCATATCAAGTTCCCTCTGTACTTTGTATTCTTTTTCACCTTTAGGCATGAATGGTGGAGAGTGTTTAATTAAATTAGAGAAGGCACGGCCTTGCAGGAAGAAGTTAGTTTTAATAGAGAAGCCGCAAGCCCGCAACCTTTAGGGATTTTAGGCATATGCGTGACTCTCTATGAGATGTTAATATTATGATTCCACGACAGTGTAATTCATGTCTGTTTTCTCCTTCAATTTAGGGACAAGCTTGAGATGAAAGCAATCAAGGACGGTTCTGTAAGCTATGCTGCCTTAGAACGAAAGGCTAAGTTATATGATAAGCTGGTGAGGGGTGAGCTTTCTGATGGGGAGGAGGAAGAGAAGTACTGTGTTGATTTCTTTCGGAAGGGCCAGGAGCAGGAAGACTCTGAGCAGCCTCAACGGCATGACATTTCTAACACAGAACCAAGAGATGAAGATGGAGATGATGATGCCTCCCTACTATCAGACACAAAAGCTGCAGGACTTGGCCAAGCTGGCACATTCGACCGAAGTGAACATAAGCGCTTTGTAATGTATGTATTGCAAACTATACACCTTTTTGAGCTTAGATGTTTGTATGCTCAGCTGAGTAGAAAAAAAAAATCTAGTTCCTGTGTTTTACACTACTTAAGATGTTTGCGAGACTTTGCAGTCACTCATAAGCCTGTCTGTTTCATTTTGTGCATAGCATTATTTGTTGCAAGCACTTTCTGCTTATATAATTTAATAGGTTTAGGAAAATAAAACATCTACTCAATTGTGATGGAAGAATTATGAACCAATAAATTATCAGAATGGTACTTGCTTATGTGCTCAAACGCAGAAAGGCTCCCATAAAAAACAGAGAAAAGAGAAACAGTTAACAATATTCATCAAAATAACATAAATTACAGGACTGGATTTTAAGGATGGGCGTTTGGGTGCCAAAACATCCTAGGTATCTTAGGTTTGTTCTTGATTGTCAGCTTTAAGGAAACCCTCTCCTCCTTCCTCTTCTTGTCTTTGTTTATTTTTCCATTCCTTTTCTTGGGTAGTTTGCTTCAGAAGTAACTTTCTTCCCGAGCAAAGAATTTGATCCCTAAACATAAGTTACAAGTGCAGAAAATTATCGTTAATTGTTTGCGAAGAAGTTCATTTATTGCTTTATCAGTCTGTTTTCTCTTACTATATTTAATTTGTTCACAACCTTTATCTACTTACATTTGCATTGCATGTTGCTGTTCTCAGGGAAGTTCATAAAGAAGCAAGTCAAGCAAGGGAAAAAGCATCAGAACTCAAGCTACGTAGGCAAGAACAAGTTGCAGCACGTCGAGAAAAACTAAAGCAGGCTTATCTCCGCAAGCAGATTGTGAAATTGAAGGCTTCCAAGACAGAGCAAACATAGACCAGAGGAGGTAAACTTCTGACTTCCTATAACAATAACGTTCTTCTTCAGCTTAGGCATCTGAAAGATTGTGAAATTATTACAGCGTTCCTTAGACTTCATTGTGATTGGTGACACCATGCTATTTGGAAGAATTTCGTCATCTTTTACATTCTGGAGTATTTGTGTATACACCAAATTTTCACCCAAATATAAGCTTCAGGTTTATTGTAGTCTCCAAACAACGCTGGTAGACTAGCATGGGTGTTTTGGGCCTTAATGGCCATGTATTTGTTATTAGTCAAGAAAAAAATTGAAGTGGTATGCAGTCATATTGGCAATTAACTGAGTTTCCGGTGTTGAATTTTTGTTTGTGTTAATGAACTTACTTACAAGTTTTTGAACATATTTGACAATGTATTTTAATTTTTTTTCCTTATTGCATAGGGGAATGTAGTAGGAATTACCTTATGGAAAACTCTCGCTGATACTACTTGTACTAGACTATAAGCCTTGGTGTTCTGGCAATGCATTGAATTCTAGATTGTTGGAATATATGTCAAATATCTTTTAAGGCATGTTTGGAGTTGAGTTTTATAAAATGAGCAAATATTTGTTATGATTACCTTTTTGTATTATTCATGTAATCTACTATTGAGAAATTAGGAGTAAGGTATTGCAGATTCTAGATTAAGCTGTAGAAAGCTGGTTGTTTGGTAAGTCATGTTCTACCAAGAATACAAGTAAAGTGGTTTTATAAATGGGAAAAGGGTAAAAAATGGGTCCCTAAACTATTTGAAAAATACCAAGGACTTAACATGAACTCCCCGTAATCACACCCTTGTTGCTAGGGAGATCCATGTTATGCTGTCTTCTGTGTTATTTAGCTGCTGATATGTGTTTAAAAGATGGAAGAATTCAGCAGCCCTATTCACCTCCCAGTTGTTAGAATTTCTTTTTAAGTTGATACTCCAAACCCCATTCACCTCCTGCAAAAGACTCTTACAGTGCTTGTAGCAACAATCACATTTGGACATCTTCAATTTGGCTGACAGGTGTTTTTGAGGCTGGAAGTTTGAATCTGTACTTCATTTGAACAATGCCCTGAGGATAGCGAATCCAAGCATCAGCTATGGTAACTTAATGGCGGGATGCATCTAGCACCTTGAATTTGTGGACTTTCTTAGAAGAAACCAAGTAGTTCAAGTTCCAGTGCAGCTTTATCAATGATTAGAAAGCTCAATCGTTATAGAGAATGCTCCAATGTTAACTCAAATTGCAGACGGTTTCTCTTGTTTCCTTTCATGTAAAAGCGATTACTTTGTATACTTGGTGGAAAAGAAAATAGTGAATGTCTCGTCTTTTCAGTGATTAGAGAAATGAAAACTTCTCGTTATTACAGTGTTTAGACAGCTGAGAGGCTAAATTCAACAGATATTACACTGTTGATGAGCAAAAGGATAAGATGTATAGAATGAAAATGTTCTTCCTGTATGTGTAAGCAACAAAAATTAAAAATACGACTCCACTGGGGATCGAACCCAGAATCTCTGGTTTCGTAGACCAGCGCCTTATCCATTGGGCCATGGAGTCTTAGATGTTACAATAATTTACCTTTCAGTAATTATTTTAGATCCCCTTGGGCTTTTAAAGTACTTATAATGCTATTTTCAAATAAGTAACATTAATAATTGACGAAATGATCTGGTGAACCCTTGTACTTGTATGCGTTTGTATTGTGAATCCTTCTACTTAATGAATTATCAATTGAACCCTTAAACTTAATCAAAAGAAGATTTTTAAGTCTCTCCTACCATGTGTGTAGTCCACTTGCCCTTAAGTAGATGACATGTCAAATCCATGTCATTTAAATTAATAACATATCATCATTATCTTCACTAATTATTATTTAAACAAATTATCAACTAAATTTATTAAATAAAAGATAAAATAATAAAATTTTAATTTATTTCTTAAAGTAAAATCTGGGCTCCTCTGACGCACCATTTTCCTTTCCTCATATCGCAGAACCAGCCATCTTAAGCGGCGGCCTCACCACTAGTTCTGGTTGGCAAACTTTTTCGCCGCCATGACCAGTTCCTCGTTCTATCTCCCGCCTCGTTCTCATCTTCAATGTTTTCCTTTCTCCATACTTCCGACGACCCCCGTGAACCATCAGATATGGCCTCTCCTCTCCATCCTTCATTGCGTACCAGCAAACTCCCTCGTCGCCTTCCATTCTGACGGAAAAGAGACAAATACCACCTCTCTTTCTCTCATTCTACTCCGAACCAGCGAGCACTACCATGAAATCAGTGCCGCTTTTTCCCTTCACTGATAATCACCATGAAACCTGATGTCAATGAGAGTGCTAATGCCAAGATTGGCTAAAGAAGATAACATACGGTGTGGAGAAGAAAAAAAATGGGGTTGGGGCAACGATGGAGTAGGGGTGGCTGAAAAAAAAAGGTTGGGGGTAAGGGTGGCACCGGAACCGGGAGGTTCCGGTTCCGGTTCCGGTCCGTTCCGGTCCGTTACCGGTTCCGTCTCAGTTCCGGATAGTGCCGGTTAATTCCGGACTTATTCCGGTCCGGGAGGGGTAACGGGACGGAAACCGGGATTTTACCGGTCCGTCCCGGTCCGGTTAGTCCCGGTTCCGTCCCGGTCCGGTTCGGAACTTTTTTTTTTTTTTTTTTTTTAAATTTGAAAATTTAAAAAATAGCCGTTGGGCAACGGGTTTTGGGCCCCACCAACGGCTCTTTCACCCCATAACCCCCCATTTACACCTCCCTACCCCCCAAACTTTTTTTAATACCCCAAACTTCTTAAAACTACATTTTCAACCTTTTTTTTAACTATAAATTCCCCTAATCTTTCATTCTTTTCACTCACAAAAATATCTTATAATCTCTCTACTCTCTAGTCTCTACTCTCTAAATTCTCTTATTCTCGACTTCTCGTTAAAATTACGAATTTGAACTTTGGAAATTGGAGCTTCAAAATTCAACTTTCAATTTTCGCCTTCCGGTCATACACGTCTACTTTTTTAAGTAGACGTTTGGTACATTCGTTCCAACTCACTTTTCATTTAGTTATTTATTTGTTTACATTTAATTATTTATTTTGTGAGTAATTAATCTCTAGTCTCTACTTATTTAGTTGTTTATTTGTTTAAAACTTTGCTAATCATTTTCGTATTATATATAATTTGCTCACTTTTTATATTTTGAATATGGATTTTGGAAAAAACATTATTGAAAAGGGTAAAACAACCATAGTTAATTCGTTCACTAATTTATCTAGCTCAAAATCCAAGAAAAATAAAAAAACCGGTAGTACTTCTCAATCTAAAACTAAAAAAACTTCTCAATTAAGAATAAATACGGATGATTATACGCATGTTGATGAAACTGTTTTTAATATTGATAGTAATAGTGGATTAGATCCTTATCATGAACATTTACAAAGAAGATTTGGTAATTTTGAAGAGGAATTACCTGAAGATGATGAACATGATGTTAATGATTATGTTGATAGTTTTGATAATAATGTTGATGAATATGATGATGATGAAACTGAGCCACCGTCGGCTACTAGTCCCCCTCCCAATCCCTCTTCCCCGGCTCCCGCTCCCTTTCGTTGTCCTGCTCCCATTCCCCCCGTGCATCCTAGGACTAAGGTAGAACGCGCTAAAAAATCAGTTGTGTGGCAATTTATGACTCAGAATGAAGATAAAACACAAGCTATTTGTAATAAATGTAAACATAGAATGAATCATAAAACTGTAGGAAAACAGGGTGGGACGGGACATTTGAGTAATCATTTAATGTCATGTTGTAAAAATGAATTTTTGCATGCTAAAGCTGTAGCCGAAGCTAAAAAAAATGGTACCACCCTTCCTGAAAATGTAGGAGTAGATGGCTCTAATATGGTCCAAACACAATTAAATCCTTCTAATGTTTCTGGTTCTAGTATACAACGGTCATATAGTAGAGAAAAAGATCTTGAAGAATTAGCTAAAATGATTGTTGTTATGGGTTTGCCATTTAGTTTTGCTGAAAATCCCGGTTTTATTCATTATATTCAAATTGTGTATAATCCACATTTTAAAGGTTTTAGTAGAAATACAATTAAAAAGGCTATCTTTGATTATCAAGCTCAACATTTTCAATATCTTCGTTGTTTATTTTATTATAACAATTGTAAAATAGCTATTACTTCTGATATGGGCCATAGTGTAAATGGTAATGATTATTTCACAATTACTGCGCATTGGATTGATGAAAATTGGACTTTGCAAAAAAGAATTTTAGGTTATAAATGTTGTGAAATGCATAAAACCGGTAGTTATATAGCTCAAACAATTATAGATGTTTTGCAAAACTATGGAATTTGTGATAAAATAAGTAGTGTCACATTAGATAATGCTTCTAATAATAGTAATGTTGTTGAAATACTAAAACCGTCTGTTTGCCCTATTTATATTGATGGTTTTCATATTAGGTGTGTTGCACACATATATAATTTGATTGTTAGAGATGGTATAGCAATATATGACGATGGTTGCACAAAAGTTGAAACTGCATGTCATTTTATTTTTAAATGTCAAGTTAAGTCTAGACGTAGAGATTTTGAAAATCGTTGTCGTGAATTTAATCTTCCACCTAGAAAAATTCCAAAATCAGTGTGTACAAGATGGAATTCTTTATTTGAAATGCTTGAAGTTGCTTATGAATATAGGAAACCTTTACAAATGGTTTGGAATGCTCATAATTCAAATATGACATATAGACTTGATGATAATGATTGGAATGACATAAAAGAACTTATAGAATTCTTAAAAGTTTTTTATTTAACTACAAAAAAAATATATGCACTTTATTATCCAACTATTTGCTCTGTTTTACCTAATATTTGTGCTATTTCTAATAAATTTTATAAATTTAAAAATAAACCAAGATTTGAACAATCTGTTAAGAAAATGATTGAAAAATTTAAAAAATATTTTATTCCTATTCCTCAAATTTATTTAACTGCTTGTTTGTTAAACCCACATTACAAAGATGAAGGTGCAGCACGAATGGTTGATAAAATATATTTTAATTTGGGTATTGATAGTGAAGATGATGAAACACCTAGTTGTCAAGATGTTAAAGATAGTATAAAAATTGAAGCTAGAAAATTGTACGACTTGTATAATAATTCTAATATAAGGAATGTAGTACATAACGAAGAGCCTCAAAGTTCTAGGAGTAGATATAATAATGAAGATGAAATTGATGATATGATAGATTGTATTATTGAACTTTCTCATAATGATAGAAATGATTTTGATGCATATATTAATCAAAATACAGAACCTACTACTATTGATCTTCTAGAATGGTGGAGCAATCGCGGCAAAGGATTTCCAAAACTACAACCGGTTGCTCGAGATGTGTTAGCTATTCAAGCATCTTCAGTAGCTTCGGAAGGCGCTTTTAGTGCAGCAAGATTTCAAATTGGAGAGCATAGATATTCATTAGCAGCAGATAGCTTGGAGATATCCGTACTATTTAGAGATTGGATTAATGGCGAGAGAAGGAGTTATGGTCGTCCACCTCTACCGACCAAATTTGAAAATGACGTTGATGAAATAATGCTAGATTTTAGTGATGACGGCATTGATGCAATGGAAGAACTAGCTAATCAACCAATTCCAGAGCATGTTACTAGAGAAATGTTAAATGATTTAAAAAAAGATTTCCTTGGTAGCATGAACTATTAAATTTAAATGTCTATTAGTATGAGTATAATAATTCGAGGTCTAATTCAAACAGAACCCTTCCTAGAAGGTGGCTGTGTAGATTAGATTTTTTAATACTCTACTAATATTTTGTAACTCAACTTGTACTATTTAATTAATATTAATTAAAGTATAGGCTATTCGCCTTAATTTTTTTTTATTATTGTCTTCAAAAGTTTAAATTTAACTTTTAATGTGTGAAATTTAAACTTTTATAGTTTTAAATTTTCAAATTTTTAAAGTGTGAAATTTAAACTTTTATAGTTTTAAAGTTTGAATTTAAATTTTCAAACTTTTAAAATTTAAACTTTAAAGTGTGAAATTTAAATTTTTATAATTTTATAGTTTTAAAGTTTATAATTCAAATTTAAAATTTCTAACTTTTAAAGTGTGAATTGTGAAATTTAAACTTTTTATAGTTTTAAAGTTTGAAATTTGAATTTAAATTTTCAAACTTTTAAAGGGTGAAATTTAAACTTTTATAGTTTTAAAGTTTGAATTTAAATTTTCAAAGTTTTAAATTGTGAAATTTAAACTTTTATACTTTTAAAAGTTTGAAAGTTTGTATTTAAAACTTTAAAAGTATAAATTTTTAAGTGTAATATTCCTAATTTTTTAATTTTAATAAAAAAATATAATTTATAACGGTTGGACCCGGTTTCCGGTCCGGTCCGGTCCGGTCCGTTACCGGTCCGGGACGGGTTCGGGTATTTTTTTCCGGAATTACCGGTTCCGGTCCGTTCCGGTTCCGGTTCGGTTCCGGCCCGTGGTGCCCGGTTCCGTTCCGGTTCCGGAACGTCCCGGTCCGGTAGTTCCGTTACCGGTTCCGTTGCCACCCTTAGTTGGGGGTGGGGGGAGAAGTTGGATTTTTTTCTTTTCTAAATTTATTATTTTAATTTTTTATATTTTTAATAATTTAAAATTTAAAATATGTTGTTCACTTGCTTTAACACGCGTGTAGTCACACTCTCTCGCCAACTCAGCCATTTAATGCCACATAAGCATGGTCAATGGTCAAAAGGGTTTAATATATTGTGTTTTACAGAATTTAAGGGTCCAGTTGATAAAAAATTAAGTAGAAAGATTCACAATACAAACTCATACAAGTATAAGGGTCTATCAGACCATTTCACCTTAATAATTGGAAGAATTTAAATTTTTAGTATAAATAGGAGTATCAATATATCTAAATCTAACTGATAATTTCAAATTAAATTCTATTGCAACCGGAAACTTCCAGAAGATGAGTCGGTGTAAATATATAAGTTGAACCAAAGAAATTACAGCAGCTAGCATTCCGCAAAATCACTTTAACAATTCCAATTCATCTCCGGAATGCCTGAATCTCATTTACGCTGGCGGAGGTCACCGCCGGAGGAGCGGCTTAGAGATATAGAAGTTCTCATATACTCAGCAGAAGGCCTGAAGAACGTGAAGCACTTGACCAGGATGAGAACCTACGCCGATGTCTACGTGGAGAAGGGCGTCCACGTGGCAAAAACCAAAGTAGCGGAGCACACCGGCGACGGAGACGACGGGACCAATCCAATCTGGAACCAGGTAGTGAAGGTGAAATTCCACGAAAAGCTACCGGAAAATGACATCATGGCGGCGTTAAACGTGGATATTTACTCTCACGGTCACATTCGAGAGAAACTGGTGGGGAGCGCTCGAGTTTTGCTCTCCGATGTGTTGAAGGATACAAAATCGCCGGAGTCAGAGATGCTGGAGAATAATCCGATCCAGTTTATGACAGTGCTAGTTTGGAGACCTTCTGGTAGGCCACAAGGGGTGCTCAACCTGTGGGTCCCACCTACGGGGCGGTTCCTAGTTCCGTTGAATTCGTTGTCGTTTAGTTTGAGGGGAAGAGACGGCGAAGAGGATCAGGTGGTAACGCCGGCGGCGGAGAGTAGCAGTGAGGTGTAAGGCTCTTGCAGCTGTGCATGGATGCCATTTGGATGTAATAAACTTGTTTTTATTTGTTAGTTAAAAATTGTAATTTTGACAAAGCACATATGCCCAAAACTAAAATTGACGGTCCATTCAAAATCTTATAAATTAGGAATAAAAAATAATTTTATATTGAGGTAATTTGTTTTTAGCCTAACTCACAATAATTTAATTTAACATCATCTTCAAGTTAGCTTAATATGTATGCCTTCGTTTCGTTTTAAAATAAGTGATATTTTTAATTTAGTTATTGACTTATAGAATAAAGAGTGCTCTTTTAATAAGAAAAATTATTGCGTGTTGGTTACAGAAACAAAATATTGAGGGAAATGTGGATGATTCAAAAGAAATTGGGAAAAAGGAAGTAATAATGAGAGGAATTTATTAGTGTTTGAATTGCAGATGTACATATAAATGAGATGTGTGACAGTAGATTGGATTGAGGAGGTGTACAATTTACTTGTTTTGGTAAAAGCAAGCATTTAAATATCAGATTTCTACTCTTCTACATCAAGGAAGTCTAAGGAAAATAATCGTTTGATAGAATGTATCATAGAATTATTATTATATATATATATATATATGTATGTATTATTATGATATTACTTAAAATTTATTTAATTTGTTGGGTAATGCTCTATTCAGTATTATAGAAGGTATAAGTAATATAATATTAACTAAGATACTAGCAATACATGAATAAGTATAGGTAAATACAGAACTATTCTTAATATATCAAACTAAATAATGAATATGAAATAATTTTAAAATAATTAATATAGTCTATGTAGGACAGTAATATTTACAGCTATTATATATAATAATAATCTCCTTTTACCAAAACCGAAGAGAAAAACATTCAAGAGAACAAATAAATATTATTTTTTACACTAGTTTCATTTTGAGATCCTACACATATTAGACAAAGATATATATATATATATATATATATATATATATATATATATATATATATATATATATATAGTGTGCAACAGTTTCATAGAAAATAGATGACGACACTTGGTCAGTTGTAATTATATAATTATAAAAAAAAAAAATTATATTCCAATTTAGTTTCTAATTTTAGAAATTGGAACCTCCACATGCTCATTTTTTTTGGTATAATATGCTTATTTCCTTATAATTTTTGTAACATGCTTATAATTTTCTATGCATATTGTAACCCCTGCTTTTTTTTTATTACTCTCTGTGATATGTGTTTTAATGTTATTATATGACACTTTTCTTTCATTTTGTTTTCCATAGAAGAAAATATGTTTCATTTTTCAAGAACTATCTAATCTTAGCTGCTATATAAATTCATTTTTTTTTAAGGAGAGAGAAAATAAAAAGATACTTTGCAGAATGCCTAATATGTCAAATTATTCTTTGACTTTTTAAATTCAGAATCTAATCAAACATATACATACAAAACTAATGTTGAATAGTTAATTTATCCACTAGGTTGCAATTGCATTCTTATTTCTTGATCCATGTCCTAGAAATATGATTGAACTTTATGACATTTTACAATTTAAATGGAAAAAAAAATAACCTTCTATGTATAAGAATAAAATTCTCTCAAGAGATATAACATAAAACCAAAAAAATGTATAAATAGGCCATAAACCAAGTTTACCCTGTTTTTGTAGTTGCTATAGTAGGCCATAAACCAAATTCAATTAAAATATATCTATAAGGGGAAAGTCTACAATTTACTCATTTATTATACAAAATAAATATTTTAATTAACAATTCGTTATATTTTGAGACATTTCATATTCTTGTCATTTTTAAATCATCACATATATTGACCGGAAATATATTATTTCAAGAAAAATGTTCAAATTCAACCCTCTACTTTTGATTGTTGCTTAAAATTCCCCACGGTTAAACTTCAAGTAATTAGAGCTTATGTCAAGTAAGACTAATGAAAAATATGTTACTCCATCCGTCCATTTTTATTTGCCCATTATATTATTTTGAGATGTCCAATTTATAAAATCAATCAATAGTTTATTATTTTATGTCTTTTTTATCCTTCTATTAAATATTAATCATTATTCAATGTGTAGATGGGTACTTATTATTTAACAGGGATTATTTAATGAAAATTGGAAAACGAAAAAAAGAAGGAAATTTGATCTTTAATTTTGTTCTTTCAACTATACTTGTACCTAATTAGAAACTAAAGTCATATATTATGATACAAAAACATATATTTATGTCTGGCAATTTTTAATTTTGTGACCAACACAAAATAAGGGTACAACTGTCAATATAAAACATATAATGCTGATTGGGCCCTCGTAGTTAACAAAGAAAAAAAAAAAACACATGTAAGACCCATTTGGATCTGTTTCCGTCGTGCCTACCCCTCAAAAATACACTTCGAGTTTTTCAGCCATGAGAATAAGGAAGCATGCCAAAATTTCCCCGCTCCACTATGCTTCTTCCGTATTTCTCCAACAGCACGGTGCCCTTTTACAGCCCCACGTTTGTCAGCTCAATCAGTCTCCATGGGATGTTATCACATTCCCCGCTGAAGATTTACAAAACGATAATATTATTAACCACCACACACTTCCTCCTCCTCCGGCACCGGCGCCGTCTTCTTCTTCTTACAAGGTCAGTTCAATAAATCTCATTTATTCTTCCTTTCCTTTTTCCAGATCTATAGAATAACGCTCATTTCGTTTCTTCAATGTCTCTTCGGTTTTTGGTTTTTTTAGGGTTTTTTATCATCACTAGGGTTAATGAAAACAATCTCAATCTCACCATTTATGTTGTGTATTTAGCCTTGTTTATTCAATTTATTTCACTGTTTCGCCCTATTTCCCAACGCACAGCTTGTATTCTTTTGAGAAATAAAGTTTTTTTTTAAAAAAATATTTCTGATTTGCTTTGCTGCGCGCAGTTGGATGGATATGATAGTTGCGCTGTAAATGGGACCTTTTATGATTCTGAACTGAGGTAACTTTTACTCAATTTGTTTTTACTAGCTAGCTACCAGTATCTTCAGAAAACGATAATTAGAAGTTCGATTCAAAATTTTGGCGTAATAGTTGGGTATAGATATAGATCGATTCAAAATTTCATTGAGTTAGCTTTGTTTTTTTCTAGTAGCATCACGTCAATGAAGCTTGAGGTGAATGATAGTAAGAGGAAAGAGATGGATTATTTGGAGAATAATAATATAGTCTCTGATGTTCCTGCTGATTCCGGCAATTTCGACAAGGATGGAAATGCTAATATTACAACAATGTGCGTGAAGAATGACGGAAAGGGATGGCAATGCAGTAGAGAATCGAAAAGAGGGCATAATTTATGTGAGCACCATTTTGCTCAAGTACTGAAGAAGCAATACAGTAGTAGCAACAACGAATCAGCTCATTCTACTACTACTAGTACTGCTGCTGGGCCTGTGGCGGCAGCTGAGATGACTCAGAGTTCTCGCGGCCGCCCACATCGTCCTAAGAAATCGTCGAGTTCCGAATTTTACTATTATTCGGGTTTTGGTCCTCTATGGGGCAAAAAAAGAGGTTCGTCGTCGACTGGGAAGTCTACTCAGGGAGCACAATCTTCATCTTCTCAAATGGATAATGAAGGATTTGACTATATTGAAGACGATAATGATGATGATGAAGAAGTTGAAAACAGTAAGCTGAAGATCAAAAGAACCCGTAAGCCCATCAAAGCTAGGTCACTCAAATCTTTAATGTGAAATTCTCAACAACAATATCTAGCTATAACATGTTTTGTGATATTGTATTATCGTAGAATATTGTAACTTTTTTTTTCATAATAGGGACTTTTTAGGTTATGTTAGATTATTTTGGTTTCATGTTTGTAATGTCCTACTCTACTCTAGGTGAGTACATATACTAGCTGTAATTTGCATCAGTGTACTGTAGCCTTGGCATGTGTGGCGATGTTTTTTTTTTTTTTATATAAATGTAAACTTTGTGTTACGCTGAACAAATCTAAATAGGGATAGAACTGTAATTTCCCTTGTCGTTTTTGAATTGTATTCCCAGTGTACGGCGTGCGGCGGTAATATGGTAAGTATATGAGTTCTTCTTCATCACGTGTATCAGGTAAAAGAATGCAGAAAATATATTTTCTTTGAATGTAGTACTCCAAAAAAGAGATTTATTAAATTCATTGTCTAAAATAATTCTTAGATATTTGTGTGGGTTATATAAATCATATCATAAGGATAAAATGGAAATTTTAGAGTTTAATTATTTTAAAATGATATTCTTTTTAAATAAGACTAAAAAGGAAATGTGTTATGTAAAATGAGACAGAGGATAAATTAATCTTTGTTCCCACCTTATGTAAACTCTATAGTACTCCTTTTGTCCTAATTTATGTGTCATCCCTTTCTTTTTAATTCGTTCAAAAAAGAAAGTCACATTACTATAATTAGAAATAATTTACTCTTTTCATTCAACAATAATTGTCAATTATACTATTTTGGAATGTCCAACAATACTTGTTCACTTTATGAAATCAATAAATAATTTTATACTTAGTTCATAATTTACCATTATCATTAATTATAATCACTTCTATATTACATTTTAAAAACATTGTATTTATTATATTCAAAATATGATATAGTAAAATTCTCTTCTGTTTATAGTTTCTTAAAATGTGTGCAAAGTTAATAGTGGAGAAATTTTGTTGGATAGAGGAAGTAAATTTAAAATTTCCCTTTCACCCTTAGTGAAATGATTCTCAACCACATAAATATCTAAGGATTGATTTAGACCACATGTTTCAAAATTCTGTATCAAATTAAAAAATGTCACATAAAATGAGACGAAAGAAGTCCTATTTAGAGTCAACACTATTTTTTTCAAACAGTTCTGATTATTTATTAGTTAAATGTGTGTTTTTTTTCTTAATTACCATATAAGGTTTACTGGGAAATAGAATAAATGAATTCACATAAAAAATTACAGTAAATAACTTGACTTGTAACACGAGAACTGTAAATTCAATGGAGTTCACAAAATTATTTTGTAATTTTCTTTGGTTTAATTACATTGAAAGTATTGCTAATACTTATTGTAATGTGTAGTTGGATTGACCTTCTCACTTCGTTGACCAAATAAAAATGTAATTTCAATTCTTAGTAATCAATATTGTCTCAACGAATATGTTTGTTTTATAATCAATGAATAAAATTTATGATTTTAACATTATGAAAGAAGGAAGGATGAATAGGATTAATAGCAAGAACAATCATTTTCATTATGAAAAATGACCAATAAAAAATGACCAATCCACTGTATATGATTTCACCACACCCATTTAATTAAACTTGTTGCGCTAAATAAAAACATAACAAAATCATCCCGAATCAAAAATACTAAGTACCCAAATATACAAATTAAAACACTAATTGTAAGCCTTTTATTTTATGTTTTGAATGCAACTAATTTCTTTTACTTCCAACTTCTTTTGATCTCTATATATACTTTTTAAAAACATTATTATATTTCCTACATTTAAAGAGACATTACAAAATAGATAAACCTGAGAATAATTGGTAACTAATATAAATTAGCCACATTATGGGTAGCTTGTATATTGTATATAAGGATGGAATTGTCCATTTTCGTTAAAGTATCTTAATTAGAAATTGGAGCAAAAACGAAGAGAACAGAATATTAGCAGTAAATTTCTTAGTATTATAGTTAAAACGTAAAATTCTATATACAAGTATAAGTTGTGTATTTATTGATTTGATGGAAATATTGAGGGTGTTTTAAAATGTAATATTTGAAAATAAAAGATGTATGAGTTTGTTTCAAATTAAATATCTTAAACAACACAATTTTTTTGGGTCAAATAATATAAAAATTCATTGATGATACATCGTATATGACGTTATTGTTCATATTATATATTCGGTCTCAAAGTTTTAACAAACACAAAAGTAGAGCCGTCAATATGAGCTAGGCCCGTAGGGCCGACCTGGCCTAACCCGTGATTTGATAGGGCTGAGATACGATTTTTTGAGCCCATTTAAGAAAAGGGCTTTTAGCCCGGCTTGAATAAGCATGTCGATTTGTGTGGCTTGAGAAATATGGATAGAGCCGGCTTGTGGGCTAAATAAAAATTAATTAAAAAATAAAAATAAAATAGAGTATTAAAAGTAACAAGAGTCTAAACTCAAAATCTGTTAAAAGTTTGAAATATTACAATTTAAATATAAAATTATGTTTATAAAATATGTACTACATAAAATAAATTTTTCCTAAAATTTATAGGGAATCACTGCATAGGCCGTAACCTATGGAATGTTGTCATAGTTTTTGTGTTTTATTATGATCATTGGAAAACAATTAGGTTAATATTTCTATTTAACTATTTATGCTTTTACTTGAAATCAAACTTAATAAGTATTATAAAGACAATTTTATTTGTGGATTTGATTAACAAGTAGTAACACTAACACCATGTAATATTGTCTTGTTGATATTTATGATAATATTTTTAAATTATAATTTAATTTAAAAAATTATAAAGAAAGTATACTTTTTAAAAAAAGAGGGCTGACCCGGCAAAGCTCGTAGCCCACGTACTTGTGGGTTTGGCCGACTATTTTCTGGCCCACACAAAAAATGGGCTAGCCCGGCCTAACTCGTAAAATTTCAAAGCTTGTATGGATTAGCCCGGATGAGATGGACCAGTCCATATCGACAGCTCTACACAAAAGTATTGAAACAAAAGGTAAATAATTAAAGACTTCTACTTACTTCCTATCTTATATACTTTCTATACAATTAAGACCCTCCTCACTAAGAAACGAAACATTAGCTTGAAAATGAAAACGAACTTAGGATGTGAAGTTAATATGAATTTTGGATTCTAATCTTTTTAAAATCATTAGTTTCTAAATTAATAAAATGTACAAACTTGATTAAAAAATTTTCTAAGACAATCTGTTAAAGTTTGAATTTGAGTTCAATCGAATTCGTAGCTGACACTCTAGCTCCGCCCCTGTTTGTAATAGCACAAAATTTGAGGGTGGATGTGTAGTATGAGATTGAAAGTTAAATAGCACTATTATTATTAATCCATCTAGTGATTTAAAAATTTTCGTAAAACATGTTTTTATTTTACTCAAAGATGTCCAACAAAAGATTTCATTAAAGAGTTTAAAATTTATTTCGCCTAGCTCTTGTAGCTCAGTTGGTTAGAGCACCCGTTTAGTAAGCGGGAGGTCTTGAGTTCGACTCTCAACAAGAGCATTTTGTTTTGTTCTATTCATTTTTCTTCGAATCGTGTGGATGTGTCTTTAATTACACACTTACTATTAGGTTCATGTTTTCTGGTTAGGGATGGCAACGAAGTGGGGTGCATGGTTGATTATGTGAAGTAGTACATGGTTTAGTTTATGCAGGGCGAGTTCAATTCATATTCTTAAAAATTCACAAGACCCTTAGGGTTCATTTTGAAAGACATAACTGATTGTATATGAAAATTGCTTGCTGAATTTGGTACCTTTATAGTCTATTAGTAATGGACCAATTAACTGATAATTGTACATCTGTTTATATACTTTGAACAAGTACCATGATTAATCTTTGATCTTGTTCTAAGCACATTAATAATTACTCCTTCTGTTCCAATTTATATGGCACTATGTGAGGACATAAAGTTTAGAAAAAAAGGGAGCTTTTCTCAGTTTATAGTGTGTCCCTGATATTTTTTGTCACTTCCATTTTCATCACATGAAAAGGTATAATCTCGAAAAATCTCTACATCAATTGCTAGCTGCCCTTTTCTCCTTTCTTTATACACTGGATTGTCATGGTTCCATCTTTTCTCTTCACATTAAAACCCCTCATTTGAAGCCACTTTCTCCAGCTTTGATACGATAATAGGCTTCTCTGTAAAGATGGAATGCTATCAGATGAAAGTCACATTTGCAGTTCCCATTTCAGTACAATCAAAGCAAATCTAAATAATTTCAATTTTTTTTACCTTTGGTAGCCTTGATGGTAAGGGCCAATCTCAAAGCAAAATCAAAGAATTCAGCCACTTTAACAAAATCTTAAAATGAGAAATCATGTCTTCAATTTACTGGATATACTTTGACAATGTAAATTTACTTACAAATGTTGTTTTTTTGTAAGATGCATCAAAGAATAAAAAAACTTTCCACTGTGGCACTGGCTAGTAATCATAAAACACTTGTCCCAGAATACAAGTATAAGATACAAATGGACATGGTAACTTGTTGCACAAAGTTAAAGTACTGAAGAACTGATATTTTTTAGAGATATTGGGTTCATAATAGTCAACTGTTTCATGTGTTTAACTGTATAGCTGAATTAAACAACCAAGTGTGACCCATGATCTTTAAAAGATCAGTAATAGGAACATAAACTCATGCCACGAGCTTCACCATGCATTTTTTGCTGAGGAGAACATTTCACTCTCAAGAAACATTGCAACTAAGTGCTCTTTCCTCTAAATATAAAACAACAAAATACACACGGAAGGGAAAAAGAAAACAGAGATATCAAAGAAATGGAACAAACTATCACAGCATAAGAAAATTCACAACCGGGAGACTTTTGTTATTCAGAGTTTCAACTTTTTTCAGGGATTACCCCCAAAGTGTTTCGATATCTCTTAGGCTTCAATGAATCAAATCAACACATCTACCCTAGATAAACAGATTTTGCTTTTCTTATGTGGATTGAGTTGACTAACCTTTCAAGGTGCCAACAATTTCCACGAAGGCTGGAAACCTATAGTACATATTACCACATCAGAATCATCACCAATGGCATCGGCTAGTTTAGCTGATCCCTCTGTCAAATCCGCTTTCACCTGAGAAAAATCAGAACAATATTGTAGAAGATGTATTTTAGCTTTTTCTTAGCCTATATCAAAATAGCTAAACTGGGACTGATGCAGTGTTCAAGTAGCACCAAGTCCTATAAATGTCGAGAATGAAATTTAGACTCTAATTTTTTTATAACCTTGATGTCCAGGCCAGCTTGTGAACACCTCAGCTAATTCCACAAGGTATCTACTACAATAACTTTAGACTTAAGTAGGCTAAAGTTAGAAGGCTTAAGATGTAGCAGCTATAGCAAAAACTGAAATTTCATATAGAATAGGTATAAGGTTTTCATTTTATCCCCAAAGCTAAATCACAGATTCAACAGCTTGAGTAAAACATGACCAGGCAAGACATGTAAGAAGTATAAGCGATATAGTGGGTAAGAACGAATACCTATTCATAGCTTCATTGCATCATCACTGCACGCTGAAACTATAACTACCAAAACTTACTTTCGACAAATCCAGGTAATATGAAACATTACAAGGAAGATCTGGATCATTTTCATGTATCAGCCAGTAGGTAGAAGTACTACCATATCATTGCCAGAATGAAAAAGGCTGTAACCAGGATCTTTTGGTAACCTTCTAGTTTGAACCACATCTCGTTCCTTCCAAGCGCTATCCCATAAGCCAGCTGCAGAATACATACTTGCTAGAACCACATAGCTAACAGCATTCGTAGGCTCGATATTGCACAAATGCCTGGCTGCTACCTTTCCAAGGTCCATATTGCCATATATGCTACATGCCCCAAGAACTGAACCCCAAAGAGAGGCACTTGGTTTTATATTCAGCCTGCAAATCAAATCATATGATTCATTCAAACAGCCGCTGCGTGCAAAAATGTCCACTAGGCAAGAGTAATGCTCATCTCTTGGAACAATTTTATATTTTCTAACCATCTCACTGAAACATTTCCATCCTTCAGCAGTCAACCCATTATGGCTACAAGCAAACAGGAGAGACAAGAATGTTATATCATTTGGCTCAAAGCCTTCACACTCCATCTTCTTAAAATATGAAACTGCATCGACTCCTCGACCATGCACACCATATGCAGAGATCATTGACGTCCATGATATTACATTTTTCTCCGTCATGTGCTGAAAAACATTGTTAGCATCTTCAATTTCTCCTGTTTTTGCATACATATCAACCAAAGCATTACTCATCGCCACATCAAGAGTGCTTTGATATTTGATCGCAATAGCATGAAGTTGTCTCCCCAAAGACAGTGACGCTGTATTGGAACATATGTTGATCATAGAGCATAAAATTATGCTATCAATTTCCCTATGATTCTGATGTAATTGACAAAAGAGTTCTAGGCACTCATTTATATTTTTACCTTCACGTGCGTATCCAGTAATTAGCGCAGTGCATGAAATCCTGTCTTTGTTCTGCATCTTCTTGTATATATAACTTGCATTAGCCAGGTTTCCACATTTCACATAGGCATCAACTAACGCTCCACTAATAATACTATACGACCCATAACCAAGTCGAATGATACATCCATGTATCAGACTGATTTTTGCTAGTCCACCACACTTGCCACCTCCTACAGATGCTTTGAGAACACTTCCCAATGTGAAGCAATCGGGAAGTATACCTTGTCTGAACATCCAACGGAACAGAAGAAATGCATCAATGTTATAACCTCGAAAAGCATATCCACAAATCATGACATTCCAAGAAACCAAATCCCTATCTGCCATTGACTCAAAAACACAAAAAGCATCCTCCATTTCTCCGCACTTAGAATTAAAATCAACCAACGCACTCTGTACATATAAATTATCCACAAACCTGCTTTTCTGAATGCACCCTTGTATTTGCTTTCCTAAATTTATACCTGACACACTAGTACACGCCCTCAAAACGCTTCCATAAGTAAACTGATTTGCCCTCACCCCTTCCCTACGCATAGCAACAAACACATTAAGGGATTCTTGTGAATCCCCATTCTGAGAGTACCCAGATAAAAGTGCAGTCCATGAAACCACATTCCTTTCGGGCAATTTATCAAATATTTTGCGGGCGGACACCATGTCACCAGACATTGTGTAGAAAATGATCAACTTGGTCCCTAAATGAACATTTGAAGGAAACCCAGTAGTTATAAGATGGGAGTGAACCAAACGACCCTGCTTATGAGCCTTTAGGTCAATGCAAAGCTGAATTATATTTGAGTAAATAGTATAATCTGCTTCAATGGGGTTGTCAAAAGCAAGCCTTAGAGCTTCCGTAAGCCTTTTGGCATTACAGAGCGATTCAATGGATGATTTCAAGGGAGGGAATTGAGAGGTTGGGCTAAGCCAGTTCACTACATTTCTATACGTTCTATTCATCATTCTTTTGCATTTTCCCTTTCTCTACAGAAAAACCGATATAGCAGATGAACTAAAAATGAAGAAGGAGAAGAGGTAGAAATAGCCTTCTTTTCAAGCTTTCTGCTACTTAGTTCATTGAAGATAAACAGATAAACCTTTCACCAAATTTTAAAAAGCTGTTGCTTAACCAATTGAAGAAGTCTGTTGCTTCTGGTAAACTAAGAGCTCCTACAAGCTTCCATTGGCTCGATCTGCAGCTTCTAAACCTGTCCCTGCTACTGCCCCGGTAAAGAAGAACCCAGCTGCAGCTGATAAGCCCAAAGCAGGGCAAAGCCCAATTGCCCAAACAAAACTGAGAATTGACAAAGTAAGGGTTTCAACTTTAAGAAAAGTTTTTGGTGCCAGCCACCGTAGCAATCGCCGGCGCAGCCATCTCTACCGGAATTCCCAGTAGCTCGACACTTGGGCTTAACCTCTCTACCAAATTAAAGTGAGTTATTGTACAATTGCAGCGCGCTATTTTGTTTTTTTACAAAGATTTTGATCTAATGAGCCGTCTTTTTCATTAGTTCAGTTATTATTACTTTATATCATCAATTCCTAAATCTTTTAAATCATAAAATTTAAATTAGATTCTTCGGAATTTCTCTTTTTTGATTTTCCACTTGATGCTTGATATCCATATTGAAGTTCTTCGGAATTTCTTCTTTTTTTATTTCCTACTTAATGTTTGATATCTATATTGAAATTCGATTAAATTGGGATGAGAAGTACCCATTAGATTAAAATGCTCCTTAGCAAAGAAAACTTCATACCCAGGGATTTGAACCCGGAAATAAGGATGAACGAGCATTTACCAAATTGAACGGAAGTTGAAATTTTTGTAAAAGAAAATGACTTCTGCTCCTTAGCTAGAGAATTCATTTTTTAATTAAAAAAAAAAAAAAACTATTTTGCCAGGAAACTTTTTTAGTGGAGAAAACATTTTCAAAGCAGTAAAGGCAGGAAATTAAGAAGAGGATCATTCCAAACATACTCAGAATTAGTGCAAAAATGTAAAGTGGAATTAGATATTACCCTTGTCATTCTATGAATTAAAAATATACTTATGAAAAGAAAAGGAAAAGGAAATACATAATAATGTATTCTTTGAATTAAAAATCTCTGTCGTGCGAATGTACTTCATGAAATGCCTGTATAAATTTGGTGGCCTTTGTAGCAATATATTCACGCTCCAGTTGTTGGATCCATTCTTCAGAATCTGTACTGGGATGTCCAACCACAATGTTGGGAATGTGTTGGAGTATGTGCAAATGTGAAACATAAAGACTAGCAATAAATGCTTCAGGCATTCCTCGAATCTCCAGCTTCTCAAGGTTAGACAATGATATCAACTCTCCTGGGAGACTCATCAACGAGTAGCATTTGAAGATTTGCAGGCATTTGAGTCCAGCCATTGAGCCTTTCCCTAGATTCATTGCTTTCATATACATTAGTTGATCCATCCTGAGAAACTTGAGTCCACGAAACCCATTCTCCGATATTCTTATCCTGTACTCTTGATACGAATCATAATAATAAAAGGCTTTAACTAGTTTTAGAACTGACAAGTTGGTTAACTTCTCCAATACTTGGATTGAATCTGGATGGAGGTTCGAGTTCACCAAAGTCAGCTGACAAAGCTTAGGTGGAAATACGCAAGAATTAACTGGTATTGATGCTAAGCCTCCCTTCAACTTAAGCTTGACAACACGACTCAACTTAGATAAACCAGCAACCAAATGTATTTTCATGCTACCCTCTACTTCCAAACACAAGGATTGAAGGCTCTCAAGCTCTGCAAGTGAATCACATAATCTAGTCATGTCTAGGTTATCAGCACTTCCAATGAGTAAACCAACTTTTTGGAGATGAGTCATTCTTGTCAGGTTTTCATGGTGCATCCAGTGATGAACAGGCATGCTGCCTAGAGTTTGGAGATTGTTAGGTAGGTCAATCTTCAATAGGCTGGGGGAATTTATGTAACCAAGTATATGCCGTAAATTCTCTAACTTCCACAAGACATTAGGAACTTTCACAGAATAAAACCTAGACATGGGCATATCTATTGTTTCCAAGTTCTGCAAACGACTTATCGAATGGGGAAAATTCTTAATACATGTCTTCCATCCTATGCCTAAGTACTTCAAGGAACATAGTTTCCCAATACTATCTGAGATCACCTTTAAACCAGGAGAGTCTATGTATAGCACTCTGAGAAGTTTGAAACTACTTGTACAAATACAATCAAGGTTAACTAGTTTAGCAGATGAATCAAAGGATAGAAGAGATCTTATATACGATTTTGAATTTCCCAAATATTCGTACCTCTTTACTGGAGAGTAAAGGACACGGTGCCGAGATGCAGAGAGGGGTATAGATGGATAATCTACCTCGAGAAACATTTCTTCCTTGGCCTTCATTATACAAAAGTCTCGTAGGAGATCATGGAGCCGGCAACTCTTAACTCTGTCATCTGCTGTAACTAGGATTACTTGAAGCATATTTCTGCCAATGAGCTCATCAAGATAATCCTCCACAGTGTCCTCTAATGTTTGTTCTCCCTTTTGATGAATAAGACCATGGGCAATCCATATGTGCATGAGTTGCTTCACAGGTATGTCTTTGCCTTTCTGGAGAAGGCCTAAGTAGAGAAAGCAAGATTTTAAATGGGGAGGTAAGTCCTGATAACTCAACGCCAAAATTGTTGATACGCCATAAGTTTGAGTTTTGACAAGGTATGAACTGAGGCCTCGCTGTACTCTCTGCCACTCACTTCTTTGCTTCTTCTTCCCAGCCAAGAGACCTCCTATGACAGTGATTGCCAGTGGCAACCCATCACATTTTTCCAGAATCTCTTTTCCCACGTCCACCAAGTCCTGTGGACACTCTCTATCCTCAGCAAATACTTTCTTGAGAAAGAGTTCCCAGCTCTCCTCTTCGCTCAATACTTCAAGTTTGTAGGGTGTGGCATGGGGATCTGCATGCAAAGCAACCTCCTTTCGGCGGCTGGTAAGTAGCAATCTACTTGACTTACCATTGTCAGGAAATGACCTAACAATGAGATCACATGCTTCTGTGGTCCAGATGTCATCAAGAACAATGAGATAGCATGTATCTTTCAAACGCCTCTGGAGCATTTCCTCCAAACCGGCCTCTGACAATTTGTCCATCGTGTCCACTATCTTCACTTTATCTTCTTCTGGATTTGCCAGTTGTAAAATGAGTTCCTTGATGATCTTCATGGGCTTATGATCTTGGGATACATAAAGCCATGCCCGAGTGTCAAACTTGTCTCTGATTTGAGTTTGGTTATAAACTTCCTTGGCAAGAGTCGTCTTGCCGACTCCCCCCATACCAACAATTGAAGCAACACGAAGCCGTTTGTCCTCCTTCAGAAGAATTGACACGACAGAGCTCACATGCTTCTCTAGACCAACAGAATCCTTGTTGGCAACCAAGGGTGAGGAGCGTCTTAGTTCACGCATCTTCTCTCGTGTTGTGCTTGAACCTTCCCCATCTCCGAGACCTTGAATATGCATGATGCCATATCTTTCACGACTGTTGGATATTTCAAGAATTCTGGTCTGAATCGATTCGATCTCTTTCCCTACTTTGTAAAGACAGTATAGTTTCTTAGGATAGAAGACACACTTGATGAAGAAACACTGTCGTTTTTGGGACTCAACTTGGTGGATGAATATTTCAATCACATCCTCAGCATGGTAGGCAACTGCTCTGATTTCAGATACCCAATTGCGGATTGTTGCAGCCTCATCTTCCTCTTGCTTCATATCTGCATCTTTCAGGAAACACTTCATACGGACAAGCTCATCTTGCATTCCTTCAACTCCTTGTCGGACGTTTTTCAGGAAAACAATTTTTTTCTGGAGAAGATCAATAAGCCGCTCTGCAACATAGGAAACTGCTGCTTCAGCCATCGCTGTTTCTTTTTTCTCTCTCTCTATTTCTCTTTTTTCTTATTTCTTGTTGCTTTTCTCCTTAAATTTCCGAAATAATGTCTTATATAACTATGTGATTTTTGGGATAGATTGCTGCAATGTGCTGCAATGATACTTTACTTGATCATCTTCATAAAAAAGATGAAACTTTACTTGATCAGTAATCATTGCATCTTCTTTCTCTCTACTTTTATCAGCAGGTTTCTTTGTTTTTTGCGTAACTGAACTTGTGTGCCCAAATTTTGGATGGAATAGATAAATTTCAGGCATTCAATTGTTTATGTGTCAAGTTGGGAGAAAATATTAGAAACTACAATGGATTATGCAAAGTTTCAATTGTTTTAAGAAATCATTTGCTACAAACCTGAACTAAAGAATTGATGCCTTGTGGTAATTATATACCAACAAGACTCTTTCTTGAGGAACTCAAACATCCATTGATTCGATTGTGTTCAACTAATTGTTTATGAAGGCCAAGTCTTCCGATTGAAGATTAATATTACCTTTTAAAATTTATATGTGTAATGCTTTTACTTTTTATGAAAAACAAAGTACTACTTCTAATATATATATATACAGAATCCGTGAACAAGGGTGTGTGAGTAAGTTATGAGATGAGTGATGAATCATGAGGTTGGTATATCGCACAACTATACGTAGTACACAACTAGTAGTATAAAACTATAGATATTTCTAAGAAGAAATAACAAAACCTGTTCTGTTCTGTTCTTTCAGAATGAAATTAAATTCTTATTAGATATCAAGATCCCAACAAATAATCTCAAGATTACAATTATGGAAAAGAAACAAGAATTTAAGAAGGGGCGAAAAAACAGAAACTTCAGAAAAAGACGGCAGCCATTGAAGCAATGACAGCCATTAGAAGAGGAACAAACAAAGTAACTCCAGCACTTTCCATAGTAGGTGAAGGTGCTGGTGCTTCTGCAGCCAACACTCCAACATTTCCAAAAGCTAAAAGAACCATTAAGCAAATGGTGAAAACCATAACAAACTTCTTGGAACACTCCATTTTTCCTTCAAGAACTTCAATAAAAATGAGAAAAATAAACAATGAAAAACTAGAATCTT